TGTTCAAATTCAATGTCATTGTTGGCAAATTCTACCGCCAGCCGTTCATCACGCCAACCGAAATTGGGTGGACACATCGCATACTACTGATATACTGGTAGTCTCGAAACTCCACTTAAAATGTATGAAAAATGAATCATATTGGTCTCATACTCGCTGATGGCAAGCGTTAACACAGCGCACAGACACTGCTCTTCATTCCAATTGACCTGGCGACTGGAAAGAAAACTCGTGGATCAGTTTCACGGGAAGTCGAAGAATGATTGTCGGTTGTGCGAAAAAGGTGCCGAAGAAGAGTTGATAAATCGGAAAGAAAGATGGACACGCAGCGACCGAGTTGACAGCACCTCTTCGTATAAATAGCCACTGGCCCACATGCCGTTCCCACCCGCTTGCTGGCCACAACCGAGGGCTGCGAAAGCGTCAATTCGCCGAGGAAGTCTCGCAGGACCAGATTCACTCCGGGCCTAGCAACGGTAAAGGCCGATTGGCGTGCGAAAATACGCTGAATTCGCGAGGTCTCATTTGACCAAACTCGAGCTTGGTCATTCGATCCGACACGAAAGCGGACCGCGAATCTGAGTCTGTCCCTCGACACTCGCCAACCGAGCACACCAGTGCCCCGGCCAGCAAATGAGCAGACCTTCATTTCAATTGGTCAATTCCGTTGCCTGTGCTGATTGGTCAGATTGCGCCAACGACGTCGAGTGCTCTTGGTTGATCTAGCCGGCGTGCACGCGCAAACGTGCGCAGAACGCATCGGATATATGCACTCGTGCGGACTAGGCAACATGCTTTGGTTAAATGATTGATTTTGCTCATGCCACAGTCGTTGAGCCTTTCTAACATCCAAGCCCCCCTTTTTTAGCCTCATTGCAAGCCACGCTGTCGGGCTTCCTTGCGCGTTCGCACGGCTCGTGTGTTTGCCTGTTTGTCTCGTCACTTTTCTCCTACTGTCTGTCGCCTCGTGTCCTCGTGTCCTCGTGTCATCGTGTCCCGACAGCATGGCGCTGGCGAGCCGGCAGTTCTCTCCATCTGCAGCACCAGCTGCCGAACCGACGCCTCCGCCAGCTCGGCTGACCAGCCGCCCGCCTGGCCGGCCAGTCCGGCTCGGCTGAGCGCGTGTGCGGCCGACTGCCGGCAGCCACGTCTCGGCTTGATGCGAACCGATCGATACCGCCTGCGTCCGCTCGGCGCCATCGCGTATGCTGCGGCTGCGGCCGCCGCCGCCGCTGCGAATGCCTCTGTCTCTGTCGCTGTCGCTGTGCTGGCTGGTGTCACGGCGAAACGGCTCACCGCGCCGCCGTCTGCGCCGTCTGCGCCGTCTCCTCATTCTGCTCCGTCTCCTCCTCTTGCCCCTCCTCCTCCTCCTCCTCCTCCTCGGCGGTGCTGCCCTCATGCTCGGCCTCGTCGACTCCTACTTCCAAGTGCCCTACGACCCCGGCAACTTCGTCTATCCTCTTCACATCGACCTCGTGCGAACGGTCAACCGCGGCCTGCAACAGCACAGCCGACCCGCCGACGTCGTCCGCTCGCCCGACGGCTGGCCGCTGTCGCCGCCGGACGCCATCACCAAAAACGATTTCCCACTTCTCCACGACAACCGACATCGTTGCCGCGACCGGCGTCCGTTGGCGCTGGTGCTCATCAAGTCGTCTCTCGGCAACCGACGCCATCGCGAGGTGCTCCGAGCCACTTGGCTGCCCGAGGTAGACCGGTTGTCTGTTTGCTTTTATGTACCGGCCCGTCTGTGTCGGGAATGCGTGTTAGTCAGGCCGTTGCCAACCGAAATGTGGCATGCGTGTGCCGTTACGATGGCGCAATTGTGCATAAGACGTGAGTTTGCCGCTCA